AATGACAGCTGCTGATACACATTGGCTTATAAAAACTGCTGGACTAGGGCTGGAGAGATGGCTCAAAGGTTACGAGCACTGACTGCTCTTCCAAAGGTCCTGAGTTCAATTCCCTGTAACCACATGGTGGCTCACAACCATCCGTTATGAGATCTGGTGTCCTTTTCTGGTGTGCAGATATACATGGAAGCAGAATGTTGTATACATAATAAATAAAATAAAATCTTAAAACAAAAACAAAAACAAAAAACTGCTGTACTAAACAAACCTATATATTTAAAAAATGTCTTGACTTCAAAATGAAAGTCAAAAGATACGTTACTTTGGAAGAGAGGTTATGTTTTTATTTCCACAGGAAATGAGAGGTTGTGGATTCATTCCAGATTGATGGATCAGGTTTGATGGGGGAAGACCCCCTGAAAATCCTGACTACAGACATAAATAAACCTAGAAAAACTACAAAACATGTAACATATATTTTACCTGCTCAAACATAAAACAATTAACAGTCTATACATGTATTGTATAGATATATATGTTACCTTTAAAAGTTAGTATATCTTCAGAGCAAGGGGACCAGACACCAGTAAAAAAGAATGGCCCAGGTGATCCATCATCTCAAAATGCCTCTGTTACAGACTCCTCAGAATTCACATCCAAACAAGTTCAAGGCTTTTGGCTGAGATGATTCAGCCTCACAAACTAATCCAGTCAAGGCCTAACAATTATCCTGATTTTCCCAAGGTTCCCCCCAAAACACCAGCACTCACAGACAACAGGAAGTAGTCTAGGGAACAAGTCTCACATTCCCAAGGGTTATGGGTGATTTTTAGTTATTCAATGGATTCTAAATGCTTGTCATTGTTTAGGGGGGTTGGTTACAGGTTGTTATTGGTCATAGTCAGGAAAAAAAGCTGAACAAAAGATTTAAATTCAAAAATCCCTTTCTAAAGGAAATAAGGAAGTTATGCTATAGAAATGATGAGATAAAAGGGTAGATTATTGAATCTACTTTAATCCAAAAAGCAACTATTAATCTCGAATTATTTTACATTGGTATGACTTTTGGTTTATTGATACACACTTAAAGTTATTTTGCTATACTACATGTATGTTTCTACTCTTGTTTGGGGTATTGTGCTTATACAAATCATTTAAAAATATAACATTTAATTAGAAATACAGATTAGTAATTATTCATCTATAATAGTTAAACTTATAGTAATGTTAGGTATGTTTTCAAGGTCATACATAGATATATTTAGATAGGTAGTTTTCAAATACTTCAAAGATCTACAGAAAATGGCATTTAATGTGTTTGATAACCTAAGGCTTTTCATGACAGTGAGACATGTCTGCTCCTGACAGCACCAATTTGCTTAAAAAGAAGATGATAGGAATTGAAGAGCCTCCATTTGGAGTTTGCTTTCTTCGTGACAAAAGCTAGCCACCTGGGCAAAGAAACTGCCTTTGCCTCAGTTGCTGATAATATACTGTCCATACTGGACAAGCAAAACAAAAACAAAAGACATGACTGCCAAACTTAGCTGAGTCAAGGTAGGACAGTCTTTCAAAATTCTCTGCCTCTCAAAAATGTTTGTCAGATATTCTAGGCCTGTAGGCCAAAGTTGGATGTCCCAACTTTATAGAAGTACTTTGGATAACTGTCTAGGCAGCCAGATGTCCCTGTCATTAGGTAACATTATATAAGATAATAGAGTATTTTCTCTAAATTTGTCAAAATAGAAATGGACTAGATATTTTAACTGTAATTCTTACTTGATAACTGTATTTATTGTATATAATTTTACTGTGTTCATGTTAAAACCTTCCTTCTTAATTAGACAAAAAAGGGAAATGCTGTGGAATAATCCTTTTGTACACTGTAAATATGTATTGCTCTCGTTGTTAATATTTGTTTTTTGTTTCTTTTTGCATTTTTTGAGACAGGGTTTCTCTGTGGCTTTGGGGGCCGTCCTGGAACTAGCTCTTGTAGACCAGGCTGGTCTCGAACTCACAGAGATCCACCTGCCTCTGCCTCCCCAGTGCTGGGATTAAAGGCGTGCGCCACCAACACTAGGCTAGGCTTCATTGTTAATAAAAGTTTGATTGACTGATGGTTAGATAGGATTTCAGGGCAGAGAGGATGTTGGAAAGAAGGGCAGAGTTGAAGGAGACACCAGGAAGTGCAAAGTGAGCAGGATGGAAAGTATGTACATGAGGTAAACGAGCCTCAAGGCAGCACATAGATTAATAGAAAAGGGTTAATTTAAGTTGTAAGAGTTAGCTGGAAACAAGCCTAAGCTATCAGCTGAACATTTATAATTAATAAGATGTCATTATTTGGGAGCCAGCTGCTGGGACAGAAAAACTCCACCTATAACCCAGGATAGCTAAAATAATCCTGAATAATTAATAAAACAAATGCTGGAAGTATCACTATTCCTGATCTCAAATTGTACTGCACAGCTGTAGTAGTAAAAACAGCATGGCATTGTCATAAAACATATACTTCAATCAACGGAATCAAATTAAAGACCCATACATAAATCCATACATCTATGGAACCTGAGTTTTGATAAAGCCAAGAAATACACACTGGGAAAAAAAAAAAAGATAGCCTCTTCAACAAATGGTGCTGGTCAAATTGGATATCTGCATGTAGAAAAATCCAAATAGATTCATATTTATCATCCTGCACAAAATGTAATTCCAAATGGATCAAAGACCTCAACATAAAACCAGATACACTGAACTTGATAGAAGAGAAAGTGGGGGATAGCCTTAAACTCATTAGCATAGGAAAAAACTTTCTGAACAGAAGCCCAGGCACTAAGATGAACAATTAATAAATAAGACCTCATGAAACTGAATATCTTCTGCACAGCAAATGACACCATCACTAGGACAAAGTATCAGCCTACAGAGTAGGAAAAGACCAATTACATATCCAAGAAAGGGCTAGTATCCAAAAGATAGAAAGAGCTAAAAAAAAAAAAAAAAAGATATAAAAAAAACAAATAGCCCAATTTAAAAATGGAGTACAAATCTAAACAGAATCCTCAAAAGAGGAAACTCAAATGGCTGAGAAACACTTAAAGAAATTATCAACATTCTTAGTCATTAGGAAAATACAAAAAACTACTTTGAAATTTACTCTTACATTGTCAGATCAATAAAAAGTGATAGATCATGTCAGTGAAGGGAAATAATCATCCATTGCTGGGCAACAGCAAACTTGCACAGCCACTGTGGAAATCAGTGTGGCAGTTTCTCATGAAGATGGGAATTGATCTACCTCAAGACCCAGCTATACCACTTTTAGGCATATACCTAAAGGATGCTTCATCATTCCCCAGAGATACTTGCTTAGCCATGTTCATTGCTGCTCTATTCATAATAGTCAGAAATTGGCAACAACCTAGATGTCTCTCAAAGGATCAATGGATAAGAAAGTGTGATACATTTATACAATGGAATATTACTCAGCCATTAAAAATAAAATAGGTGGTGGTAGCACACATCTTTATCCCTAGTACTCAGGAGGCAGAGGCAGGTGGAGCTCTGTGAGTTTGAGACCAACCTGGTCTATAAGACCTAGTTCCAGGACAGCCTCCAAAGCCACAGAGAAACCCTTTGTCGAAAAACCAAAAAAAAAAAAAAAAAGTTAGGTATAGGGTAAGGGATGGGGTTGGGGGGGGCAGATAGATCTTCCTAGGAAAGGGAAATAGAATAATAGTTATGGATGGATAGCACTGGACCCTGAGAATAAAATGGGGAGGGGGAATGAAGAGGCAGATGAGGGAGGGAATGTGGAAAAAGACAGCTAAAATTAAGGGCCATTTGAGGGGTAATATAAATACCTAATACAGTAGAAGCTTTGTAAAGTATATATGTATGAAGGCAATCTAATATGAAATTGCCAAATAACAGGGAAGACAGAATCCCAACTGGTCATCTCTTGTCACCAAATGAAACTTTCATTACTGGGAATGAGTTACATCTCACTGAGTTGTTGGCCAAAGGCATGGGAATCCCCTAACAACTTAGGCTGTTGCCAAGACCATAGGTTACCCGCCACAAACTGATGGTTAGTTAGGCTCTTTGCTGAAGAAACACCTACACAACTCATTGAACATGGAGAAGTCAAGCTGGTGCCTATATAGAGCCTCACTCCTGCATGCTAGCGTCTTCTGTACAGGAAGGTACTCTACACACTACCAAAGGAGAAACACAAACACCAACCCAGCCACAAACACTTTCTTCTATAATTGTGTCCTGCCTGCAAGATATGCTAGTGCAGTGATGGCTGTGATCAAACACCATGACCAAAAGCCAGTTGGGGAGGAAAGGGTTTATTTAGCGTACATTTCCACACCACAGTTCACCATCAAAGGAAATCAGGACAGGAACTCAAGCAGGGCAGGAACCTGGAGGCTGCAGCTGATGCAGAAGCTGTGGAAAACTGCTACTTACTGGATTGCTCCTCATGGCTTGCTCAGCCTGCTTTCTTATAGAACCCAGGACCACCAGCCCAGGAATGGCTCCATCCATAATGGATTGGTCCCTCCCCCATCAATCGCTAATTAAGAAAAGCTCTTACAGCTGGATTTTTTTTTTTTGAAAGCTCGCTGTACTTCAATCTGAGATACCCAAGGCTACATTGCACCTGACACTGCAATAAATAAAAGAGAAATCCAATCAGTCATCAAGGGCTCCAGAGTGAACAGCATTTTCATAACTTCCATGTTTATCGTCTTTAATGTCCAGGTGTAATTTTATCAGATCATCGATTCAAAGAATGGTGATTGCAGCTTCTGTTGCAAACTTCAGGCTCTTCACTTTAACTATGGTTGGATCAAACACCCCTGCTTGCTTGTTGTCTCGTGGTTTTCCATTGATCAAATCCAGACCAATCCACTTCAGGTTTTTATGTTCTGGGTTAACATGAGCCTCATTGTGAAAAGCTCGTAACTTGGCAACCAGGTCAGTGGAGTCTTAAAAATATGGAACGCTTCACGAATTTTCGTGTCATCCTTGAGCTGGGGCCATGCTAATCTTCTCTGTATCGTTCCAATTTTTTTTAATATTTTATTTATTTATTATGTATACAACATTCTGCTTCCATGTATATCTGCACACCAGAAGAGGGCACCAGATCTCATTATAGATGGTTTTGAGCCACCATGTGGTTGCTGGGAATTGAACTCAGGACCTCTGGAAGAACAGTCAGTGCTCTTAACCTCTGAGCCATCTCTCCAGCCCCCTCATTCCAATTTTAGTATATGTACTGCCGAAGCTAGCACTACAACTGGATCTTTTTTTTTTTTTTTTTTTTTTTTTTTTTTTTATAGACGGTAGCTTTGGAGCCTATCTGGCACTCGCTCTGGAGACCAGGCTGGCCTCGAACTCACAGAGATCCGCCTGCCTCTGTCTCCCGAGTGCTGGGATTAAAGGGGTGCACCACCAACGCCTGACTACAGCTGGATCTTATAGAGGCATTTTCTCAACTGAAGTCTCCTCCTCTCAGATAACTCTAGCTTGTGTCAAGTTAGCATAAGACTAGCCAACATAGTGGCACAAAACTTGGAGTAACCAACCAATGTCTGATTTGACTTAAGGCCCACTCCAGGAGAATGAACCCATATCTGACACTACTTGGGCGACCAAGAATCTGAGACTAGATAGCTCAGAGACCTAGGGTAAAACTGTTCTTTTTTTTTTTTTTTTTTTTTTTGGTTTTTCGAGACAGGGTTTCTCTGTGTAGCTTTGGAGGCTGTCCTGGCACTCGCTCTGGAGACCAGGCTGGCCTCGAATTCACAGAGATCCTCCTGCCTCTGCCTCCCAAGTGCTCGGATTAAAGGCGTGCGCCACCAACGCCTGGTGGTAAAACTGTTCTTAAAAAAAAGAAGCATCAATAAAATGACTCCTAAAACAGTGATTCTCAACCTTCCTAATGCTGTGACTCTTTAACACAGTTCTTCATGTTGTGATGACTTCCGACCATGCGATTATTTCATTGCTACTTCAAAACTATAATTTTGCTACCGCTATGAATTGTAATGTAAATATCTGATATGCAAGATATCTGACCTTTGATCCCCCACAGAGTCACATCCTATTGATTAAAAACTGTTGCCTAATGACATTCTACTATACTCATATATCAGTGCCTTGCTCAGTCATCATCAGACAAGCTTCCTCCTGCAGCAGATGGGAACAAAAAGAGACCCACAGCCAGACATGATGCAGAGTGAGAGACCTTGGAACACTCAGCATTAAACGGGATGTCTCCATCAAATCCCTCCCCTCAGGACTCAGGGAACCCAGTGGAAGAGGATGCAGACTGTTCTTTGTGTATATATTATGGTTTCCAGTTTAGTGTTTTTATGCCACAAAGACATAAAATCCCGTAAAATTATGTTATTTCTGAGTGTGCAATCAAGTAGTTCTCTGCATCTGTATCTGTTTCTTGTGCCTTTTCCTGGGTTCTTTTCCTTCTGCTTGTGTTGTCCTATTCTGATATATTATTGTTTTATCTTATTTTATTATTAAAAACAAAACAAAGCAAATTGACTTTTGTGTATGTTCAGGGTTTCTATAGAATGGAGCAAAAGGATGACTCGACACAACATTCCAGTCAGCTTGAGGAGAACCTGATGGTAGCTATCCGACTTGGAAATGATTGTGTGGGTCTTGGAGCCATTGAATAGTTGAAAAGTGAAACACATAAGTTGATTTGGGAACCACGAGGCTTGTGTAGAATACTTAGCTATTATAGACTACTGACCTGGAAGGTACTCTGCTGTGGAGCAATCTTTGTGCACTGTAAATATGCATTACTCTCATTGGTTAATAACGAGCTAACTGGCCTATAGCTGGGCAGGAAGAGATTGGGCATGAGAGCCAGACTAGGAGGACGCTGGGAAGAAGAAGGGTGGAGTCTGAGGAATCGCCAGGAGATGCCATGAGATGCAAAGAAGCAGCATGGAAAGTACTTACATGAGGTAAACGATCCTCAGGGAAGCACATAGATTTCTATTAGTGGGTTAATTTAAGTTATAAGAGCTAGAAAAAAACGAGCCTAAGCTTTTGGTTGAGCATTTATAATTAATGATAAGTTTCTGTGTGGTTATTTGAAAACTGGCTAGTGGGACAGAAAAGTTCACCTACAATACTCCAATTGTCTTTGCCCTAGCAGATCGTGTCTTTAGAGAGTGGGGAAGGCTCCAGAATCATGATGCACTGTTAGCACCTCAACTCCATCTAGTACATGGAAGCATCATGATGTCATCACAGGTCCATGTGGTGTGTAGTGGAGACTTCACTGGCCGAGGGTCCAGACATGTGTAGTACCTTCTTCATTTACAAATAATCATTTCTTGGGCCACTGAGATGGTTCAGTGGATAAAGATGCTGCCAAGCCTGAGGGACTGGATATGATCCCCAGGACTGACTCCCACATCTTGTCCTCTGACCTCCACACAGTCAATAAATAAATGTAATAAAAAACAGAACAAAGCAAAACCCCAACCATTTCTTCTACAAATACTAGCTTCTTTATGTCCAATGCTGGCTGCTCTACTGATGAACACTACAATAAGACATAGAAAGAAGTGATTAACAAATGGTGAAAGCAATGGAATCCATTGCCTCAAACACTCTACCACTGAGCTAGCCTCATCAGACCTATTGGGGGGAGAGAGTTGAGAGAGGGTCTTGCTATGTAGCCCAGATGGCCTTGAACTCTTGACCCTCCTGCTTTAGTCTCCCGTGTTGATGGAAGAGCAGGCTGGTGTGTGCCACCATGGCCACCATGGCCTGCAAGAAACTTTCCAAAAAGCGGAGTTTAGATTGGAAGCCAAAGGTTATAGCACAGGATACATGACAGAGGCTGGAAAATCAGCCCATGAAGGAATGGTAAATTAAAAGACTGATTTTAGGAATATTGAGCTCCTAGAAAGTAGCTCAATTGATAGAGTGCTTGCCAAGCACACATGAAGCTCCCGTTTTGATCCCTGGCACCACATAAGACAGGGTGTGATGGTGCATAATTGTTATCCTAGTACTTGGGAGGTGGAAGTAGAGGATCAGAAGTTTAAGGTCATCCTTAGCTACTTGGGCTCCTTAAGACTCTGCCTTAAACTAACTAACAACAAGAAAAAGAAACTATTAATGGCTAGCCTGGGTGACTCAGAGCATGTGCAAAACAGTTTTCCTTCAGTTTTGTGTATGCGTGTATGTGCATGTGTATGTGTGTTCCGATGTGTTTTGGTATGCGTGTGTATGAAACTAGATGGGCGTGTGTCGACAAGAGGACACACTCAGGCAGTTTCTTCAGAGATGCCATCCACCTCCTTTGAGATGGGAGATTGCTAAGAAGGCTAGGCTGGCTTATCCCTGAGCCCCAGGGATCCTCTTACCTTTGCTCCTCATTGCTAGGGTTATACGTATGTCCACCATGCTTGGCACTTTATTTTCTTTTTCCATTTTCAGGTTTCTTGTGTATATGGGCGTGTGCGTGGGGCAGGGGAGACGACACACCATTTGAAATCAAACCTGGGATAAATAGCTGAGGTACCTATTTAACATATCAAGGCAGAACTGGCCACCAGATTCTCCCAGCATCCTTTAGTTCCTACCTGTTTCAGGGTGTGACCGGCATACCTCACCCCCTACCCTGAACTCTCCAGCCCAGGGGCTGCATTACTCCTCCCCCAGTGGTTCTTCCTATATAATTCAGCCCATTTTGGCTATGCTGGCTTTTTTTTTTTACCCTCTTTCCCTTTTGCCCTTTTCTGTTACACCTGGTTCCCGTCTCTCCCCTCTCCACGCCCCCCCCCCCACTTTCCTCACATGTCTTTGCCCAGGGTCATGCCCATTCTGCACTCTCCCAAATGTCTGTCTCTGTCTCTGCTGTTCCTCATATGTACAACAAACTTTCCTCTTACTATACCACCATACCCAGGAACAATTATGTCCTTCTTTTTTCTTTTCTTTTCTTTTTCTTTCATCTGGTGCTGAAACCAGGGAGAGGAATAAATGAGTTCCTTTCCAAGGGACACAGCTGCTCTAAACCAAGCTGCTGATCTGATTCTCCTAAGTATGTATGGCTCATTTGTTTCTGCTGGCGTTTGCCACCTGCCATATTTAGCCTCATTTCAAATTCCAGAGTCTGCCTCTCCTCCTCTCTCCATCTCTCTGACTCCTGGAACCTATGTCACCCAGGTGGTCATCTCTCTCCAAAGGATAAGTGTCACCCTGAACTACCTGCTTTGTCTATGATTTCTATAAAAGCCACCATGGTGTGCTAGGAAGCTCCTCTCACACCTACTGGTCTCCAATCACAAGGACAAGGGACTCCTTTTCTCTATGACTTGGAACATTTCTCTCTGACAAGTTTTCCATTCTACTTAGGGACACCATGTATGGAAATTCTTGTCACAATGATACTTTATCCACCTCAGCTCAACTGGCTTTTCCTCACCTCCCCGGTTTTTACTGGGCATTTTTATCTGAGGATTGTCAAGAAGGTGGCTCCTCCTCAGCTGTATTGTTCAATTGATATTAATAATGTTAACCTATATAGAGTTTTGATAAATAAAATAGATACAAAGAAATGCTACCCAAGTAAGGGGTTATAAGTTTCCCTTAAGAACTGTCTTGGGCAGAGCGTTGGTGGCACACACCTTTAATCCCAGCACTCAGGAGGCAGAGGCAGGCAGATCTCTGTGAGTTCAAGACCAGACTGGTCAACAAGAGTTCCAGGACAGCCTCCAAAGCCACAGAGAAACCCTGTCTCGAGGAAAAAAAAAAAAAACTGTCTTGGAAGCCGGGTGTTGGTGGCGCACGCCTTTAATCCCAGCACTTGGGAGGCAGACGCAGGTGGATTTCTGTGAGTTCCAGGCCAGCCTGATCTCCAGAGCCAGTGCCAGGGTAGGCTCCAAAACACAGCTTAAGAAAACAGCTGCCAAAATAGTCTTGTACTATCAACTGCTATAAAACTTCATAGTAACTTTAGATCAGACCAGGTGCCTTGCTAATGGGTTTTAAGATAAACTGTTCCCAGAAAAATACAATCTTATTTATAAGGACATATAGTCAGT